TAATAAACCTCTCCCGGTGAACGCTCCTCTTTCTTCTGATCTACCACCCGGGGATCGAATTTTCAGCACTATAAAAGTTACAATACTTTGTTGTTTGAATAACCTCGCTAAAAAATGCATGAATATTTTATTTTCGGATTTATCGCACTACGATGTACCCTTACTTGCATCCTTTTATAGGATACTACCAGTTCTCAATCCCAGACAAAAATTCGCTTACGCTGAAGGCTGTCACACCATCTGCTGCCCATGTACCCGCTGACGAAACATAAACCAGCTTGACAGGCAGCCCTGTTCTTGCCTGCATTCGACGACTTTGGTGATTGTATTTACGGATTGCCAGTCGACAGGCTTCTGAAAAAGCATGATTTATACATAGAATGAGTCCCCTAACTTGGTTTTTGCGTTTCAGATAACGGCCTATGAATCCACCGTGTCCTGTTATTTATTATGAGCAAAGTTGCTGCTACCAGTTATAGTGAGGCGTCCTTCCAATATATAGACGCTTGTGTCCAGTGGCTTCGCACGAGATTGTTTCTCCCTTCATCAAGGCAGGATAATTCCTTCCTAGAGGAGCCGCTCCTATGCTATCGCCTCTTAATTAGGACAGACACTGTGTTCTCTGCACATGTGACCCAGTCGCTTGCTAGATTTTCTCTTGATCGAGTTTAGAACTTGTGGTCCAAGCACTTTTTGTCGTTTTTCAACTTTCAGTAGGGTGTGGAATTGTCAAAATTCTTCATATGTATTCGACTTCGATGAATTTTTCAGTTGCTTACTCTTCCTGACTCCATTATTTTGGCGATTACGTTTAATCCTAGCTAAATCTCATTCCGTTGACGTAGTTACTAGGATACTAAGCTCAGTACCGATACATAAGCCCGGTTCTTTACCTTTGTTTTATTTAGTCTGCCTAATTTCTATCAGTGCGTGCGCTTGTTCCAACCGACTTTGATAAGTCATTCTAAGGATGCGATCTCGTTTTCTCTTTAACTCTCCAACCAAGCATGTCCGTATCCACTGGTTATCGGATTCGTTCACAGGTTGCGGATCGTAAAATGACCTTCGGTGGAAGCTAACTCTAAAGTAAGGGGACTTTTACATCTGGTGGCTAAGTAGTGGTGGACTAGCAACAGTGTTGAAGCCGACGTCTAGTATAACGCCTAATGTAGGACACAGCACGATGTCGGTTAAAGCTACCTACACTGTGTCCACCGCTACTTGGCCATTATGTCCGAACGAGCTAAGGCCCTTAAATAGAAATGTCCGGACAAACAGTCCAGGTGACTCTTGGTATCCTGCATGTAGTAAAACTTCCCAGGAAATCTATTAAAAAATATCCTGCCTTACGTAGTAATTGACCTAGTCTATGGGCTCCTCTCAATCCCTTTAAATTATCTTTAATTCTTAGGGTCATCCAGTGTGGAACCGCCATGACAAAACCTCTGCAAGTCTCGTCAAAAACAGTAGTTATTCAGCCTGGCTCAACTATTCTTCGGATTGGCCTTGCGTCGGACGGCAAGCCGACAGTTTTGCCTAATTGCATTGCTCGAAGACGAAAATCGACTGCAACATGCACCATCTCTTCAGCGGTCCCCAGACTAGGAGTTACTGTTACTCCTACTCTGCTAGAGAGCCTGCCTGAAGATCTGTTTACAGAAGCCGAGAAACTCCAGGCGAGTGTTCTGCCAAGAGACAGCTTCAAGTTTGCCCGAATACCGGAAAATACTGCTGCCGATAGAAAAATAGAGGATAGCCGTATTTTCTTTCCATTTCTCCATGGGCTCGAAAATTTTGAAAGCGAGGATTTTATTGTGAATTGGCCAATTCAAGGTGGTCGCTTTAATCCAACTCAATCACCAACTAGTGTCGTGCAGGATCTGGAGGATATGTGGTCATACGCTTTGGAAAACTTCGTACGTACTGAATTTCTTTATCGACCCCTCCCGTTTCTTCGCATTACCCACATTTTCCCGTTATACTGTTTTCTGCTGTAGTCTTGTACCTCAGTTTTCCTTGCGGCAACTAGCAGCGAAGTCAAGGTGCCTATCCGGTTCACGCCCTAAATGTTAAAGTTTTCTGTCAAATATCACTTCTTGAAGTGTATTCGACCGGTTGGATATGCCAAATTTAGGCGATTATTGCGAATCAAGGAACAGCTTACTTCCTTTAACTTCTTGGTAATATTGAAGGGACATTAAGATATTGTCCGCATCCACGTTTCACTCATTCTAACTTGACTCTGCAGCAGGCCTTCTAGTTTTATAATAATTAAAATGCGATTTCCAGGTAGCTTCATAATTGGGCAAAAAATACGGTTGCACCTCCTCAAAACATCTAGGCCGGCAGGTTTCCCAGATTATAAGGCGG